TAACTGAAGGACATCAACCATGACAACGTTTTCTTGGACAAAAGAAATGTGATTCATTACCTTTGGCTAGGAAGCAATATAGTAAGAAAAAAAGCTAATTTCTATACAAGATCTTTGGAATCAAGACTTAGTTTTAAGGGCATTTGAAAATGACTTTTAAGAATTTGTATCAGTTGCAAATGTTGTAAAGCTGTAAAGGAATCAATTGTGGTTTTCTTCAGTAATAAGGAATACTGGTCCGTGTGACCTGGAAACCCTTGGCCTGGAAGTAGTACCAACAGTACGTATGTTAGGGTCAGAAACCATTTGGCTGATAGACACACAGAGGGGCTATAAGCAAATGAACTGGAGGGTGAAAGTGATCAATGCACTGGTATGGACACAACAGAACAGAAATAGGAGCTCAGAATTTTTGTGGTGAGAAGAAGCAAATCACTCTGGAGCAATTCAGTTTTTCTATATTGGCAGAAAGGGAGACAAGAGCTCTTGAAGGCATTGTGTGATCTGGTTAAAATGATCTCGGAGGTTCTTGTGGTATAGTGGTAGTGTCCCACCTGCTCCAGGGAGGGTACAATAATGTGTCTGATCAAGTTGGTGAGAAAGTATCTAAAATGGTCTCAAACTTGGAAAGCTGTGTGACTAACTTGGCAACACTAAACCAATGGAGTGTTTTCACGGAAATGGCTGAACCACAAACAGTGGTTGTTTTGGTTGAAAATGCACTCTGGAAAGCGACACTGTCGGGACTGTTGTAATGAGAGAGACAGAGCGAGAGTGTTATTATACCTGTGAAACTCTAAAGTAAAATATGCTGTCGGAGAGGATTCTTGACCCACGCTGCATGAATAAAGAACATTGTGTTGTGGAGCTGTATAATACCATACACGTTCAAGGGAAATTCCTGAGGTTATCTAATGCATATCTTTGTAGAATTGACTGTTAAAAATGAATTTACCATTTTCATTTAAAGTATTATCTCCCTGTTAATCCATATTTGTGTTGATTCTGTTTCATGTTGAAGTAGGAGTTACGGAAAGTGAAATATAAACAAAGTGCTGGAGAAATGTAGCAAATCTAGCAGCATGGTGCTATTGGGTAGGTTTCAGAAAACTGTGGTTTGCTGCAACATCAAACATGCATAAACATGGAGAAAGAAAAATTCCAAAGCAGTAAATGGATCATTTAAATGAGTAATTAAAAATTACCATTAAAAAGTGCCAAGCTGCAGAGCCAACCAAAAGAAACACTTCCTTTTTCTCCCCTTTCTGTTAAGAAATAGGGCTAGAGACAGAAATGACTAGCCCCTAAGTCCTGATCACCAGGACTGGAAACATAGGCTGGACTCCGAAGTTGAGTTTAACCTACATTAACCTTGGCTGATCTCTGGTGAGGCAGATTCCAAGCTGACTTCAGCAGAATTCACATCAAAGTAGGGTTTGGATGTGGATCACCTTTTCAGGCCTGGAGTTTCCTCCCTTCAGCCTCCTTTGTGGATAGGCTGTTTTGGTTTTGTTGAGGGAGGGGGTGCAGAGAGGAAGAGGAGAGGAAAAGTGGACGTATGTGCAGCACAATCCCATTGAGCCAGCCAACCACCCCCCACGCCCACTCCCTGACTGCCCCGTCAGACACTCATCATTTTATTTTGAGGAGGATTGATGAGGGTATTGCAGTAGCTGCTGCCTCTATGGGTTTTAATAGGGCATTTGTCAATGTCCCATGTGCGAGACTGGTCGTGAAAACTATAACCCATTCGATACAGGGTATGTAACAACTTGGGTCTACAACTTAGAGACAGGAAACGAAGTGTAATGATTGACAGATATTTTTGTGTGTGAAGTGGTTTCAGTGATACTCCTCAGGCCTTGACACCACCTCCCAAGAAAATTCATCTGACTCTCCTCGCTCACTTCTCAAACCCCACCCCCACCATGTTTTACTGACAGACCAACTGTTACCTGACCTCCTTTGATAGTACAACTCTCAACCCTCAGCCTGTTCCTCAACTCCCAGTCGATGGTGGCCTGACTATTCCCCTACTGCCCACTCATCATTCACCCTGCTACCCCCC